AGATCAGCCATTGTTGTCAGTGAAAAGGACAGGATTTTATTGCTGAATTGGAGAGAGGGGAATACATTTTTTGGTATGAACAATGGGTGAAAAATTGTCGAATATATAGAATATTGTTAAGGAAGGGTATGAAGTAATGCTCGGAAATGGGAATATTTTTTTGACTAATGTTTTAATAGAGTTATCGGGAGAGAAATGTGATATATTAGTAGCGGAGTCTGTCAACTGACCGCTCAGTCACTTTTGTTTTTTAAATTTAGTCAGTTACCTGGATTATTGAGAGGGGAAAAAAATATAAAGTGAAGTTTTGAAACTCTGTTGGAATATTTATGTGGGCACTTAAAACTGTGTAACAGAAGTCATCTTTTTCTTTTTTTTTCTTTGCTGTTTAAAGAGCGAGGGTAAGGAGGGGAAAACCTATGAGACAGGAGGATTTACTGGAGAGTTTTGGTTGATTGTCATCGTTTATGATATGTATATATGTGTAAGTATATTTACATAGCTTTTTTTTTCACTTTCTTTTTTCTTTTTTTTCGCCCACACTTATCTTGTTTTTTCTAACAAATGTTACTGTTGAAAAGTTTTAAGCTGAAAGAAGGAGGAGAAGAAGAAGACGAGGAAAAGAAGGAGGAGGGGAGAGAATAAGGCAAAAAAAAAGAAAAATCTTTTTTAAAAGTTTGATTATATTTGTTTCTGTTATTTTCGTGTATGTGTTTTTTTGTGTCAACAGAAAAAATTGAGTGAAATAAAAGAAGGCAAAAAGTAGTATAGAATTAGCTGTTATTTTTTTCAGTTCTTCATTTTTTTTAGTTACTAAAACTGCAGATACTTGGGAAACATATTTTGGTAGTCCAAAACAGCTGGTACCATATATTTGGCTATTATAATTGATTCTTTTGCATAGAAAAGAGAACATTCTTCTTGGGATTTTTTTTTAACTGAATGAAGAAACAATTTTTTCTTTTTACTTTATTATTGTTAATTTCAATAGTTTTTGATAGTTTTTTTTCGTTTTATTGCTATTTGATTTTGCTTCAGAGTTTAGTGTTTAGTTCAGTTCAATTGAATGCGGTTTACTGTTTATATGCAATTGATGATGCTTTACATTTACGGTTCAGTGAGTGCTGTGGTTATAGGATTTCTTTTTTCTGTTTCTGTGTATATTTTTTTTTGTGAGGTGAAAGAAGGGGGGAGGGGGAAGAAGATGAAATGTGGAGAGAGGAGGATGGTTTTTTTTTTTTTTGCACTATTTTATGCACCAATTTTTTTTTAGTTTTTAGTCAAAAAAATTGCGTTTTTTTGACTTTTTTTTTTTTTTGCCTGTTTTATCTGTTGGAGATGCAAAAAAAGGCACATCTTTCCTTCTTTTTTTTCTCTTGTTGGCTCAGAATTTGTTATATAATGAATAGCGAAGAAGAAGAAGGTGAAAAAGAATAAGATACAGGCAAATAAACAGATATATTAGTTATCGTTATCGTTGTTATTCGTATTTTTATTTTGATGACGATAACGACGAAGATGAAGATGGTGAACAGTTTTTGCTTAAATAAACAGACTTTTTTTTTCAAATATCGTTGTATTTGTCATCTTTTTTTTTGCTGTTTTTAGTTTTGCCGTTAACCGATATATTTCATAGTGGAACAGAAAGCGAGACTGTTCGTTAATTATAAATTTTTGTTTTGTTGTTGGACGAAATTGTTTACTAAGACTATTTTAATTTACAGGTCGGTTATTGGCAGACTTTATTTTTTTTATATAGATGATGATACCAGGTTGAAATTATTCCAAAAAAGGGAACTTTTTTCTTCTTCTCAGTTACGGTTATGGAATTGAGGATAGCCGTTTTATTGGGCCTCTACTGCTTGTTACTTTTACAGGTGAGTAGATTATTTATATTGTTCTTTTACCACTACTGTTTTCTTTTTGCTCCTGAACTATGTTTTACATTCTTCTTTGATATACTTCTTTTTTGTATTGGTAGTCTTATTTTTGCTGTTTCTTTCTTTCCTCCTTTTTGCCAGGATGTAATTAAATTACAAATACACTTCAAGCATAGCGACAATGTTACTAAACCAAACTTTCATTTATTTTTCTTCTCTTTTTTTTTCTCTTTTGTTTTCTATGTCTTTTAATAGTCGATTGATTTCTGTATTTGTGTGCTTTTTTTTTTTTT